AGTTGTGGCTGCCGCAGGAGGGTAATTACCAGAGCCCTCCGAGCCCACCGGCTGCTCCCAGCGCTGCCCCCGGGGGCACAGATACCACAGGTGCCACAACAAGTACGTCCGGATGAGCTGACAGCTCCAGGGCCTCGCAGGAGCAGCAGGGCTCCCAGGAGCCCAGGGCTATGTGACAAGGCCAGCTGTCCCTCCCTCCCCGTGGCAGCCTCCACGCCGAGCACAGCAGAGATGTGCTCAGGCAGCTTCACCCCCAGCCAGAGAGCAATTAATGCACGTTCTTGCCTCACTTTGCATCAGACACTGCTCAGCTGAGGTGTCTCTGTCCTGCGGCTCTTGCCAAGGACCCTCTGCAGCCTGAGCAGGCAGCTGAGCTGCCCAGAGGGCTTCACCCCTAACCCTGCCTACCCCTAAACTCCGTCTTCCCACGCCGAGCATCCAGGAATCTAAACCAGCACGGACAGCAGCAGGGGAGCTGCAGCTATCTAGGCTTCCAAGCAGGGCTACCGGGCACCTCCAGAGAAAGAGGACAAGTTTCAAATAGGTTTTTTTTTTTCTAGAGAAGCATTAACACCATAATGTGCTTCTCAACCCCAAGGTGGAAGCTGCCCCGGGGAACAGCTGCAGGGCACAGCTCACCCCTTGTCCCAGCAGGCTGCACCCCAGGGCAGAACCTGGCTGCACCCCAGGGCAGGATCCTGGAGGGATGGGGCCCAGGAAGCAGCTCTGCCCCTCGCAGCAGAGCAGCCTTGGGCTCAGAGCTCCCAGAACACGTTGGTGTGTCTGTTTATGGCTCATGCTACAGCTGCAGAACATCCCTCCACCAAGCACAGACACCCCCGGGAGCAAACGTGACAGGAGTCTCAGAGGTTGGAGGACAACACAAGGAGAAGCTCCTTGGGCTGCAGCAAAAGCCCTGATGAGGTTCAATGCACCAGTTCTAACTTTTACTCGTGTGAGAAGAAGTCATGGGGGTTCAGCCGTTGCAACCACCAAACCCAGCCGGGACAGGAGATGTCACTTCCCCAGCGGAAGCCAACCCGTCACCCAGCACCTTATCTGGGGAGCGGGGGCGGGGGGGGGAAGGGACCAACACCCATTTCCCCGAGCAGGACATTTGCCTTTCGCAAGGTGACAAAGTGAACAGGCAAGAGGCAGGAGGGGTTTGGCCCCAGGCGCGTCCCCGCCCCGCAGCGCGGGGGGAAGAGGCGACTTTCCCTCCCCTGCTGCAAGTCTGAGCTGTGCCCAGTCCTGGAGCCCCCGACATGGGGACATGGGGAATCCAGAGGAGCCACGGAGATGCTGGGAGGGCTGGGGCAGCTCTGGGACAGGCTGCGAGAGTTGGGGTGTTCAGCCTGGGGAAGAGAAGGCTCCAGGGAGACCTTAGAGCAGCTTCCCGTGCCTGAAGGGGCTCCAGGG